GGGGGGTTGCCCCCATTGTTAACCTGTTTTTAAAGGTGTGTACTCTGGGCTCTTCATCTTCATTTTTGCTTCACAATCATCTAGACTCCGCAGCCTGTATATCTGTATATAGAGCCAGGAGTAAAAATAAAATAGGAACAAAGAGACCAGCCAATTAGGTTGCGTCATTTTTATTTCCTTTCTGCAATTGTTTTAGTGCATAGCTCAGCTTGCCGGGGACTGTGGGAGCAAACTTGTTCGGTTTACCTGGGAGCGACGGCGTGTTGAGGAGGCGCTAATGCTCGAACTATAGATCAGTGCCCATATCCTAAGTCAGGGATGTCCAAACTCCGGCCCTCCAGCTGTGTGGTGAAACTACAAATCCCATGAAGCATCTCTCTCCGGGAGTCATGTCTGTGGCTCTGAGAATCTTGCAAAGCCTCATGGGATTCGTAGTTCCACCGCAGCTGGAGGACTGCAGTTTGGACATCCCTGTCCTAAGGCAACAAGGGCAGGATGAGTCTCATTGGGAAGCAGCCAGCTGAACACACTCAGCATCACTTGAAAGGCTAAAACTGGACATACACCTAGAGATTATCTGTAGACTTTCTAGTGTCAGATGGGAAAAGTGCAAGAGATTCCTCCATCTACGTTACACTGTGTGCATGGAGGAATCTCCCGCTGGGCCAAGCTTCCGTATCTTGCTAGTCGGCTCCGTTGGCTCTTAAAGGAGAACCTATGAGGGGGGTGATTTTCACTCACCTCATAGTTCTAGCCGACCTGTGACAATGAGACTGTCACAGGTCGGCTCAGTAGATCGGGAAGTGAGCGAACACATACCGGCGTTCGCTCACCTCTCGATCCTGTCACGGCTCTCTGCCGTGACAGGGGAGGGGCTGGATTCCCCCCTCCCGCTCCGATCCGCCAGCGCTGACTGGCAGAGCGGACGGGGGAGGGGGCGGGTACAGCTGGCTCTGCCTCTAGATAGGCAGAGCCAGCTGTCAGTCACGCAGCTGGGCGGATCCCGGCACAATTGTCGGGGATCCGCTTCAGCTGCGGCGTCTCAGTATACCGCGAGCTGCAGCTCCCTATATACTGAGCCTAGGGTGACGGGAGGATGCTAGTTTGTGTCCTCCCGTTACCCCAAGGAGAACTATGGGGAAAAGCCCTGACCCCATAGTTCTCCTTTTTAATACCTGAACCATGCCGGCATCCAATCAGATTGTTCCACCCGGCAGTTTTATTCTCTCGCGGCTCGGAGGTTTAGGCTCTTTCTGGTAGTTACCACATTAGGCCGAACAGGAAATTGTGATACTATGTGGTAATCATTAATCAGTGGGAGGAGCAACAGACAGAACAAATGGGTGTACGCAAGTACTATGAAATGTCCACCATGACGCTTCAGCCTGGTGAGGTGACTGCCAGCAAGTGGTAAAGTATGAACTCCGACCTATAGAAATAATGTTCAAATAAAAGAAGCATTTGCTTTTTTTTCAATGGCGGTGTCCTTGTGTCTTTCTTTCAGATCAGTGCAGCAACTCCGTACTTTTCCTTTACCACAAGGATCTATGCAGCCAGGGCCGAGCTGATACAGCCGGGCCGGTGGGGAGCTGGAAACACTTTCCTGTATAGGAATGTCCCGAGGGCAAGGAGGAGCCCTATCTCTACAAGAGAGAACACCAAGGTTTAGGGGGGGGAAGAGAATCTCATTGCACGGCCTAAAGGAGAAGAGATCTGCATGGAGGTGGGTACAGAAGGGGGCGGGCACACAGGATTTTTTAGTGGGGAATGAAACATAATGCATGTGGGTGGCCAGAGCCCGTGCCGCATTCTCATTACGGCTTTTACAAAGAGGACGGTTAAATGTGTGAGGCTTTATACTGCGTATGTGAACCTAAAGCTGAACTCCGGGCAAACGGCTAAATACGCAGAGGAAATACAGACACAGGAGCTGTTGTTGCCTGATTTCTGTCCATCCAGTCCTGAGATGTAACCTGCTCTGCCTATCACACCAGTCCTGTCTGGTACTGAAGTTCAGTAACACTTATGGGTCTTGTCCCTCCCCCAGCCTGTGAAAGGAGAACCAGCTGATGGATGAGCTCACTCTGCTCTCTCCTCTTATCAGCATTCCCCTTCAGCTGCTTCTCCCTCCTCTTCTCTTGGCCAGCATCGTTCAGAGCACTTCCTCTAAGCCCAGGCTGTCATTGACCCGCCCCCTGGACTGCTCCTCCCTCCCCTTCTCTTGGCCAGCATCATTCAGAGCACTCCCTCTAAGCCCAGGCTGTCATTGACCCGCCCCCTGGACTGCTCCTCCCTCCCCTTCTCTTGGCCAGCATCATTCAGAGCACTCCCTCTAAGCCTAGGCTGTCATTGACCCGCCCCCTGGACTGCTCCTCCCTCCCCTTCTCTTGGCCAGCAGCATTCAGAGCACTCCCTCTAAGCCTAGGCTGTCATTGACCCGCCCCCTGGACTGCTTGTCCCTCCCCTTCTCTTGGCCAGCATCATTCAGAGCACTTCCTCTAAGCCTAGGCTGGCATTGACCCGCCCCCTGGTCTGCCCCTCCCTCCCCTTGGCCAGCATCATTCAGAGCACTTCCTCTAAGCCTAGGCTGGCATTGACCCGCCCCCTGGTCTGCCCCTCCCTCCCCTTGGCCAGCATCATTCAGAGCACTTCCTCTAAGCCTAGGCTGGCATTGACCCGCCCCCTGGTCTGCCCCTCCCTCCCCTTGGCCAGCATCATTCAGAGCACTTCCTCTAAGCCTAGGCTGGCATTGACCCGCCCCCTGGTCTGCCCCTCCCTCCCCTTGGCCAGCATCATTCAGAGCACTTCCTCTAAGCCCAGGCTGTCATTGCCCCGCCCCCTGGACTGCTTCTCCCTCCCCTTCTCTTGGCCAGCATCGTTCAAAGCACTTCCTCTAAGCCTAGGCTGTCATTGACCCGCCCCCTGGCCTGCTCCTCCCTCCCCTTGGCCAGCATCATTCAGAGCACTCCCTCTAAGCCCAGGCTGTCATTGACCCGCCCCCTGGACTGCTCCTCCCTCCCCTTCTCTTGGCTGCCATCATTCAGAGCACTCCCTCCCTCCTGTATAGGAATGTCCCGAGGGCAAGGAGGAGCCCTATCTCTACAAGAGAGAACACCAAGGTTTAGGGGGGGGAAGAGAATCTCATTGCACGGCCTAAAGGAGAAGAGATCTGCATGGAGGTGGGTACAGAAGGGGGCGGGCACACTGGATTTTTT